GACACCACTTCGGAAACCCAAGGAGGGGGTTGCTATGAGTCAGATTCAACTTAATGGCAGTGGGTTAGAAAACCAAGACACTAGGTAAGAGATATGTATTGATTTGGGTGAAGGGAAAGGTAATATAGCAAAAGTGGGTGACCAGCACAATACCACTAAGGAAAAGGAAGACATGGAGAGGTGCACAAGAGTTACAGGTAACAAAAGTAAACACTATTACATATACTGTCTTGTGTTATTAGTAATAACAAACATTAATCTACGAGTGGATATGTAGGTAGACAGACAAGATAATCAGGTACGGGTAGGCAAATGGGACTACACCCATGACCAAATGTAGGTTTGGCAGATGGTATTTCTATATATGTACTTGTCTATGCTGTAAAAATGCTTACATATATGGTAATAAGGTGCAAAGTTATAATTTCTTAGCCATAACCAAACACCTTGAGGGAGTCAGTCGCTGGGCCTGTGGGCTCAGGACCATGGTTGTGGGGGACATCAAGCTCAATTAGCATAACACAGTACACAAAAACACTGTTCTACATGCTCTTTTGATAAGAAGGAACTGGGGTCTTAAAAGCTTGTGAGTGGCCATCTAAAGATGCAACTCTTGGTCTGTTCTCATCTGGAGCAAAGAAGAGTGAAGAAAATCAAAGATGCAAGAAACAATTAATCCAAGGTGGAGCACGAGAATCTCAATTAAATGACCCAGAGACCAAAAGAACTAGACGGTGCCTGGTTATCACTGCCAATCACTCTGAAAGTGATCACAATTGGAGATCTTGGACAGAGTAGAAGAAAATGTGGAGCAAAACTCAAAATCATAAAAATGACCAGGCTTATTGGCTTAATAGAGATTGGTGGAAACCCCAATATTATAGTCCTTAGCTACCCTTCAGGCTTGCAACCAAACTTACTCCAAACGACAGACAGACCTATGAGGTGAACAATAACATAAGAGATCAAAAGGGTAGCATTTGCCCAGGGATAAGCTCAGCAGGCAGGAATGGATAGGAAAGGACAACAGAATGATAACTACAGGGAGGAAGTAGGAGGAGTGCTGTTGCATTGTGGGGATTGTGGTTAATGTCATAACACAAAATGTGTATGAACTATTTAATGGAAAATGAATTTGCTCTGTTAACCTCCACCCTAATCACAATAAAAGTTTTTTAAAAATACAGAGGTGTAGAGAACATTATATTCAATATGCGACTTTGTAAAACATAAAATTTATTTGTAGCAGCTGAATAACCAACACTTTTTCTAATCATTCCCTAAAGTAGTTTTCTCATTAGGAGTGGAAACCAAAGATTTAATTCTCATTTTATCTACCAAACCTTTACTTTCTGAGAATTGAGTTAACATACTTTAACATTAAGTTAGTGACCTGAAAGGTAAGTTTGGTTAACTTGGAGACTTTTTTTCTCCTCATCTTCAGTTTTAATAAAGTGGAAGAACACACTAATTGGTGATAAGGAGGAAGTAGGGGCTAGATATTTAAACATCCTTATTCAGAAAAATAATTGTTAAAAAGTACTTTTAAACTTGGAGGACATTATGCTGAGTGAAATAAGTCAGTCACAAAAGGACAAATATTGTATTAGTCCGTTATTGTAAAAGTTAAGGAAAGGTTTATATA